TAGACGTTGATAGCATCTTTGATTCAGAATACATGCTTGCTACTAATAAAAGGCACTCCAAAGTGAGAAGTATATTTATTAATGTCACATATGTATATATATATGTTTATATGTTATATAAATTATTTTATTCAGAAAAGAAGTGTAGTAATTCATATATTTCCATGTCATCCAAATATTCCATCTTCCTTATTTTTAATTCAGGGAAGAAATTGTATCTCTGTATATAAGGGGAGAGAGTAAAAGCTATGTGGCATGAGGGTTAAAAGTGAAGTTGTACTCAGTGTTATTAGTCTTTGGAGATTATACCACCTAATATAGCAGAAGTGGAGGGAGTTTGAGGATACAGCCATCTATGGTGACTGGAAAAGCAGAAGCCAAAGAAAACATGAGGAAATGACAAAACTAGATCAAGGATAGGAAGCATGTAGTTATATAAGTCACTCGGAAGCATTAGACCAGTATTGAAGGCAAAATACACTGCGACAAGCAATTCTGAGCAATTTCACATACTCATCAACAAAATTCTGCAGTAGGACGAAACTAAGTGCCGAGTCACATAAATTGTCTAGAAGTGCAGCAGTGTTACTAGCTATTGGTGGTTGAATGATTCATGTTCACAGCTGTTCTTTAAACTGTTTGCTTATAATTAAACATCAATGTACTTTTTGTATAACTTTGATTGTCGATCAACCAGTTTTTGTGGCTGATCTACTAAGAATAATGTAAACTGCATTATTAGACAGTATCAACATGAACTTCCCTGAAGTGTTTGAAAAATAGTTACTAGTTCCTTCTAAGACAACTGAAAGCAGTTACTTTTGTTCACTTCATGCATTCAACAAAATTTTGAATATTATCTATTTCCACTTACTTGACTTCCTATCAATGTTATTAAGAGAAAGCAAAGACAGAATTTATTTTAATATACCACAAAAAATAAGATAGCTAAGATATATAGTAAATGTCTGCAATTTATTTTAAAGTATAGATATTGACATGGTCTGAATTTGATTGTGGTGCCTTACACTAAAGAGTCCTATGTTTGTGAAAATCAAAGAATATACACCTAGTTATCTAAAGTAACAACAGCAACAACAATAATGCTTTCAGTCTTGCTGTTTATCTCAAATAAACTACACAGCCTAAACAGCACACAGAGAAGGTAACAAATGGGCACTCTCTACCCTCATTGGAGACCTGTTTTTTCAAGCAGACACCCAAGCTTTTACCCAAAAGTGGGGAAAAAAGAGAAAAGAAAGTCATAATCTAGGGTGTCCAAAATAAACTTTGCAGGATCAGTAGTGGCAGCTGTATATCTCTTTCATAATAAATATTTTTCTTCCTAGCTCTCAGCATGGAAACTTGACTGCCAATAGAACTGATTTTAATGACAAATGATTGAGGGGACTTCACAAGACACATGAACACTACCACAAATTATCAAATGGGGATGAAGTATGCCCATTCCCTGTATGCCCTAGTGCCCAAATTCTGCACTAAAATGTAAGGTGAATTTATTTAATACTCTTGACCTACCTAACAGATTTGTTTTATAGATCCAAGCTTCCCTTTATGTGGAGTCTGTTTGCGTTCCCTGCATGGCTTGAAAGCATTTATGCTTAAGGCTCTGAACTAATAAAAAATACTATAACCAATATATGCTGAGCAATTTTTAAAAGTCAAATTCAGATGCCTAGTACTGTTTTTGTGAGACAATTTAATTTCTTCTAATATACACGTAAGCTTTGCAGCTTTGCAAGTGCATGAATAGTAGGGCAACCTTTACCTGAAAGCTCTCTGATTTTGTTTGACTTTTATTCTTGTTGCTTATATAAACACATTTCTTCAAACAAATATTTTTCTACTCCAAACAGACAGTCCTGTAATTTTCAAAAATTTCTAGTTTTGTCTGTGATATGAAATGCATTTACTGAATATCACTCTAGATAGATCTCTACTTTCATACTGTGATCACAATTAGTATCTTGAAAGATTTACAAGAACACAAAACAGTTATCCTGCCCTCAGTCCTAAAATTATTGATTCTTGAGGATACCATGACTTAATTATCAAGAGTTATTTCTGAGCCAGCCAAATATCTTCGCTGTAGTTGGTGGTCTGCAAGACAGTGCAAAAGACTTCAATTTGATTCCCTGCTTCTGCTTACTTGACCAAACAGATATGTTCTTATCTATATAACAGCTTTCATCTTTGACTCTCTGAAGATGCACAGCAGGAAAAGGTAAAGCTGTTGCCATTCTTAGGGTGATTTTACAAAGAAGGAGGCTATGCATGAAACACCAAGAAATTTTAAATAATTTTTTCAAACTTGAGAATATTTCATTATGGGAAATCTAATTTAATTTTTACTAACATTTAAGTGTTTCTACTAATACTAAATGAATGTACAGCTCTATGTCATGCCAGAGAGATCTTAGCATCCTCAAAAATCATAATTCTATATAGGTCTTATAAGGTAGTTTTCAGAGAAAAATGCACAAGTCTTCACTGGTTTGTCAGAGTAAATCTGGTGGCAAGGTTGTAGTTAAACCTGAATTAATACGATTTTCAGGATACAAGCTAATTCTGCACAAAAGCAGCAAACTATCTACAATAGGTTTCAAGAGTCATGTAAAAGCATTTATTAGTTTAGCTTCTGTCCTATTTGATAACATTTGTACTGTTTTTTTAACTGAGCTGATAATCTTTGGATCAGCAGAGTCATGACTACTTGGCTCAGCTGTGTCTTGAAACAAATGGCATGGAACAGAGAAATTTTGAAAATTATAAGGTTGATCATAATTCTAGTAACAACTTTGGTGACAGAGTAAAGCATATTTTATGTTGTTTTTATAAACTGAGAGTAGCTAAGAAAGGTTTGTTTAAAGGTTACTGGCAAAGAACAGAGAGTAAGGTAAAAAAAAAAAGTCTAAGCATCTTGGAATACTGTGTATCACAGTAATACGGATGGGGATATCCAGTTAGAGTGGAACATAAGCTGACTAGATCAGTATGATATTAAAAGGCAAATGCCATTTTCAGCTGCATTATCAAGAATACTGTACATCAAATACACTAGGTAATTACTTTATTGTCTATGGATCACATAAAGCTTAAGCTAGAGAACTATTTGCAAATCAGACTAGTGACCTTGCTGGCATTTAAGGTAAGTTGAGTAGTACTCAGGGAAAAGCATTAAGAGTGCTAATAATTTTCAGAAATACAACCTGTGAGAAATGTTTGAAGGCAAAGGCATTGTTGGGTCAATGGGGGAAGTGGAAGTCTAAAAAGAACAGGAGAAAGGTCTTCCAGTCTTCAGAAGTCTGCTGTGAAGTCTGTTTAGGACATGACAAGTAGGAATCTGTTTATTTACAGGAAAAATATTTTTTTTTAGCTATTAGGAAAATCTAACACTAAAGGCAGTGAAGTACCGGAGGGCACTAAAGGCCACTTATGGAGGGTACGGTGGGATTTTTTAGAAAATTCTAAAACAACATCTCATAGAGATGTTCCACATGTACTAATCTTCTCTTAGATTATAAGTCCTGAAACTTGATCCAGATCCAAAACTCTGCAATTCCATAAATTCATGGCGTCATTCAGACTGCTCAGATCCAGTTCAAAATGAAATAATGTATGCTTGTCATACACAGTGGTGATGCTAAGTGGTTTGTGTCTCCTGCTCACCATCACAATACCGGCTTTTCATCTAAAAGGTATGATACCAGTAATATGTAGCTATTTTATATGGAGGAATTTACTTTTGCTGGTATAATTTAGAAACTACATTATTGGCCTAGCCTTTATAGCAATACCATTAAATATTTTGAAGGCTGGAGGTGAGTAATATCATTTTGAATAAGGTAAACAGAGAGTGAAGTATTATTAGAGCTAGAAGTAGCTCATTATGGTTTTTTTTTGATGCCCCTCTCTTAAAAAAATGAGACTCTGAGGTAGCTGCACACCTGATGAATAACACTTTCCTCTGGAGTCTAGAAAAATGTATCCACTGGTATGCTTCTACAACAGATTTCCTGATTAAATGCCTCCTAAAACTATACGTGGAGGACCAGATGTTTCTGTCTTTCCTCTGCATAAATATGGTGCTTCAATTAAAGATCATATTTCCTTTCAAATGTAGAATTTATTTTATCTTCAATTTTAAAGCAATTATTTCAGTTCTATTAACATCTCTTACAAAGCACTAAGAAATGATTGTGTGTGTGTGCACATGGCTGGTTTGTAAAAGAAATAAGAACACAAAAGAAGTTGAAGTTATAAGGAAATACTTTCTGTCTTTTAAGAGCAATATCTGAAATTATTTAGAAGAGTGTAGACAGTAACTCTGCAGCACCCTTCTACAAATGTGACTTGGACTTTATTTCGACCATTCTTTAAACTTCTAGGTAGAAAGAAAAAAAAAAAAAGAAGAAAACATATTGAAACCCTGAGCTATCCTTTATTATTAAAGACAAACAGGAAATAGCTACAATGTTATGGGAGGCACTGACAATAAAGATTGGATTCATGTACTTTCCATACCATCAAACCCATAAGATTGTATCTGCTAGACCATCTGAAGATTCAGCTAATTCTGCGATTATTCAGTTATAGACTAGAGAATAGTAAAGCTCATATTTTAAATTTAAATATTTGCTAGTCATATCACTGAACTGAAGATCCCACGTTGCTGATTTTTTAACAGTTGTCATAGTTCTTATCTCACAGCTTGTGGGAAGTTCTTCTTTAGTAGCAAGGTATTTAGTTTGCTATCAGGGCAATACCCATTAATTGGCAGTAACAGGTCAGGTAGAAGAAACTTGACCTCATCAAAGTGATCTGTGAAACAGTGTTGCCACCTTCGATTGGGGCAGGTTGTGGAACTGCTTAAAATTTAAAATTCATGCTGTCTAGATCACACAGGCAAACAGAGTATTGACAACTGTTTTTATTTATGTGTATCAAACATAAAATGGCTTTTGCTTGTACACAATGTATTCATTTGCAGAAGTCATAGGGCAGAGAATACATGCATATGAAAACCTTTCAGATACACCAAGAAATCAGAAATAGAGTAAAATTAAATTATTCAGCATATACAACATAATTTTACAAAGAAAATCTCAGCTGCTACAATGTCATATTCTATGAACAGTCCATCTATCTGTCAGAATATTTCACAAATAAGAGCTCCTTGCAGTCCTTCAAATCGTAACTTCCTTTGTTTCTTCATTAGAGCCATTGCCCTGTCCTACTCATATCTAGCTCTAGGTATATTCAGGTATATACCTCTGTTAATACCTGAACAGAGATATTAATTAATAGCATTATAGGGTGAATGACACAAGTCTAAATGGACTTTGCAGTAGAAAATAATTTTTTTTATCCTTGACAACAAATATACCAAAAGACTCTCCTGCCCTGTGTAATTGAAACTCACAAACTAGAAGTTACCAATTGTGAAAGACTCATGCTTACATTCTGAATTGACTCTAAAACATTTTGAGGTTTTAAAATGAACCATTTAGCCAACCACTCACTATTTCCCTTATTCTACTTTTCCATACATACACACATGGAATAAAATAATTTTATTAATTTCATACATATATATACACATAAATACATTTATATGTGTATACACACACATATATATACAATACACATATACAAGCATACACACACAGATATATATACACATACACACTGGTGGGGCCACAAACTTGGAGAAAATGGTGAAAGGCCAAAGACTAACCCCTTGGATGTGAAATCAAACTTGTGGGACAGCCAAAGAACAGAAAGGAAATTCAGAGTTCTATCTGGATAGCATTGTCAACTGCAAATAGCATTTGGCTTATGATCCAGTGGATGAAAAAGTACTTTAAGAAGGAAAGTACAATATTTTAATTCTCTGTTTTCTCATGGGTCCTTAGACTTAAGGTAATTCCAATAGCAAAGCCTACACCTTCTTTTTGCAATTTTACCTGTCCAAAATGAACAAATACAGGAAGTCTAGTAGGTCTCCTCAACAAAGTGTTTATACTAAAAATCAGCAAGAGTACCTGGCATTCTAACTAGATCTTTCAATGTGAGGCTTACAATCAAGTTCAGGCTCAAACAAGACGTATTATCTTCTAGTGGTTGAGTTGCTGAATCCACAGCTAAGAGAGGTCAACATCCAAAAGCCGGTCTTTTGCAGAGAGGCAAGTATCAAGCTGTCGATTCTTCTGCCTTCTTTTCTTTCTCTTGACATGAAGATCAAATAGTATTTTATTTTTTAAAGCAATTATTAAAAATAAAAAGGAATTAAGAAGTTGTAATGCATGAGTAATCTTTATATGCCACATTATTTAAAGCTCACTCTAATGTTCTGTACTGTACTTAGGGTAGATTGCCACATCCCTTTTAAGCCTCCATTTAAGCAAGGTGTGAATAGCAGAAAAAATAATTTTTCTAAAAGTAGTAAAGTCTTAGCAGTAATCTTTCAAGCCTGGACATGAAAGATGACTTGTGCTACCAATTTACATTTGACATTTTTGTTGTTTTTAAGATACTGAGCCACCAATCACTATTAGCTGTGACTGGGGCATTTTATTTGTTAAAACCAATTTATGAGATCAAGCTAAGTGCACAAATGCTCATTGTAGGATACCAGGATAAAAGAAGTAAAATCCCATCAACAAAGTTCAAGACTAAAGCAGTTGAACTGGATAAGAAAAAAGAGAGACTTTCCCACTGTGCTTACAACTAACTCTCAAAGGGAATCCCTTTTGACTGGAGTAATAAGGAAAACAAATGGTAAAACACTAAGAGAACTGAAAAACATTGAGATTCACTTGGGAAAAATACCCTTAAGTGTTATATGAGATAAGCTGAAACGTATTCCAGAATGCATAGAGAACACTACGTGTGGTCTCTGACTAGCAATTACTAAGTTATAGAAAACAGTCTTGATGGACAAAGATTGGAAGTGACAACAGAGAAAGAAGAAACTTCAGTTTAGAGAGCTCTTAAATGTAAACATATGTATTCTTATTGAAGAAAGAATGATAATAAAACTGCAAATAAATCGGAAACATGTATTTTTCTTTCTTTACTACTTTAAGCAAGTTGCTGAAACTTATTGCACCATATTCCATCCATCTCTAAAAAGTGGGTTGAACAGTTTTGTTTCTTTGCTCCTGTTTAAAACCTTCTAGAGTCCCTTACAAAAAATGTTGTAGAACTACAAAGTAACATCTATATCTAGATGCTTTTAATATATACTCTTTCAGCTGAGCTCATAAAGGACTGGAAGTACATTTGTCTTTACGAACATCTGCTAATGCATTTGGGAAAGTTTGGGATAAATCAAACTGTGTGATAGAAACCTCTAAAAGAGTGTTAGAAAGGGTTGGGTACAGAGGATATGGTACAAAAAGAAAAAAAGATGGACATGCTGCTGACAATCTTTTTTCATCTCCAAAAAACACTGTTATGACTGGGAGGACCTCACAACATTTAAGTGCTGGAAAGACTTTGAATCACCTGCAATACTTTATTGCAAGAGGAAAAGGAAACAATGAGCTGCTCTTATTTCACTTCTTCAATGACAAAAATGCTTTTTGACTGAGAACACTTAAATATCAGTTTATTATTTGACAGTTTCATGAACTTAATGCTGAATTTTGTCAGTTGTTAGCAGGGGTTAAAAAGTTGTATGTTGAGAAGTTAGGAAATGTTATGAGCATCTACACATCATTAATTCAGCCCTTCAATGTGATGAGTACATAGTGTCTGAAATTGTATGATCATGTACTGTTTTCCCCCTGCAAGATCTGTCTGTATCAACTACACAGAATGGATTATATTCCCTAAGCAAAAAGGATTGCCTTGTATGCTAAAGTTTAGAACTACAGTTACAGCAGATGAAGCAGTTCAACTCCACCCGGGAGACTTAGACTCCACTCCTGTACCTAAGCCCTTGTGTGATCCTGTGCAACTGACTTTATTAACGTTTTCAGTTGGTCCCTAGTTTTCCACTTCTTGTCTCAGATTCTGGTGGTTCATAGCTAAGTTTAGGTGAACTTCTTCAGAAGGAGTATCTTTGATACTCTGCCTATATCAGATCAAACTTCAAACTCTTTCAGGAAATTATAGTTTGCCAGAGAAATCATTAGACCTTTTTTTTTAATAACAAATGATCAGATATTATCTTCTAATTAGGTTCTTGACAATGGTTGAAGTTCTCCCAAAATTTCAGAATCTAATAGACTAACTAGCAATAAAACTCAAATAAAAATGCCTAAAAAGAGGAAAAATTAAAAAGAAAAAAGGGAAAAGAAGAATCTCTAATAGGAAGTAGGAGCCTATCTATTGTAAGTCATGCTATAAGCCAGGCTAACTATTTTAAGTAATACTTAGCATAGCAACTAAATACAAACATTCAGTATGTATATGGATGCTACAGCCATATTCCTAAATAAAATGCATAACCATATTATGACTTCATAATGGTATTGGTCTAAAATTTTGATGGTTACTTTTGGATTGGATTCTTTGCCCCTGTACAAATTGTGGATTACAGACAACAGGTTTCATATTCAGGACTGGGAATAATTTCTCTGCTGGAGACTCTTTCTATTGGTAAACTGTTTTTTTCATTAACATTTCAATTATACTGTTCTCTAGAAGTGTTTTTTCTTACCTTGCCACCCATCAGAATGCGGAGGATTTCAGTTTGCTATCTTGCTATAGCCCCTTTCAGGCCTCTGGTGCATTATGTCCCACCTTTGCTCTGTTGGGCACATCCTTTGGACTGCATCACCAGATTTGCAAAATGGGCAAAAGATACAAGTGAACCATAAATTCCTTCTCTGAGAAGGAAGATCAAGACAGCAGAAAAATACCACATTCTGGAGACATCACAATTTAGATGTATTATGCTTCTATTCTTCTCAAATTACAGTTTCTACTCTGACTCTAATTTGCAATGTCTTGGTGCTCCAATCTGGAAAATAAAACAAACAAACAAAAACCAGAAGAAAATTATTTTACTGTCTAACTTTGTTACACTAATGAATCTCAGACCAAAGAGTACTACTAATTCTTTATGGTGGTTATAGCTGGTTTTGAAGGAAAACTACAGTGAGAAAGTACTTGCTTTATAGATATTCCTATTTATAGACATGAGGCTGTTATATGCTGCTTTTTTTATAAACAAATACCATTAGTCTAAGAAGCAAGGAAAAGTTTAGGCTTTGCTCTTACTCTCTGAAACCTTACATATGATATCCAAAATTTAAAATAAGTACATATTTTGAGAAGTCATAAGACAGTCCTGTGGCACATCATGAGTCCGTATGCTGTCCTTTGAATGTTCATTGAACTACAAGTAAAGATACGTTGTCATTTCCTGCAACATCAATGATGTGCTGATTTCACAGTCACTACAGCACTATAGAGAAACAAAAGTCACTGTGCAGGTGTACAGTACAGTAATTTAATAGTGATCCTATCTTGTTAATTTTATCTCAGAATATATCACATAATAGACAAATTTGAAAGCAAGAACTCCATAGAAATTGAAAACACTATTGCATGAGACCGAAAGCATGACTCTGAAAAATGTGAAATTTTGCAAAATAAGCACTTAGAGCTTGTTCAGTCTGAAGTCTAATGATGTTACATATTCAAATGCCACCAAAATGGTTTTTGCTGATGATCCTTTGAGCACAAATGTTTTACTCCACAATGTTTATCCTGTAATCCCATACTGCCAACCCAAGACTCAGAACTCCCAACAGCCAACTTGCCTCCAGCTATTTTACCTCCTCATCAGCTTTCAAGAGGCTGTAATATATTGTCAATACGAAAGCCATGGGCTTATTGACAGGTGGAAGAAAAAAAAAGAGAGAGGTTTAAAAATGCTGAATCAAATATCAAGCAAGATAACAAAGAAGTAGCTCCATGAAGCATTATTAGTTTCCATATAAAATCACTTAAGGTCCTTTAAAAATAACGTAACTGGAATCTATTAATGATTGTGTTACGCTTACAAGGTATTTGAAAACACAGATCAGGACTTAGATAGAAATTTTTATTGTGTGATATAGGTTACTATCACTGTAATCTACTTCTGTAGTGCATACAGAAATATATCCTTCAAATGTCTAGCCCCTATTAAAAAAAAAAACACAACACTTTTCCAATGCTGTAAGGAAAGCTGGCTTCAAATTCAGGTCAGTGGCTGTATACCTACTATAAGCCTTTCATTTCACAAAGCTGTAACCATTAAAAACCTTTGATTCACTTCTGTGAAATTGCACAGTAAAGATCAGCCTTGTAATGGGCATGGCATATCTTTACTCTAGCAGGTGGCCATGCCTTTTGCAAGCCAAGGTTGCAGCACTTTATTTTTAACCTACATCAGGCTGGCAGGACCTTCCTTGCTTCGTGTGAACAGAGGCGTATGTGAGGCTCTGAAGGCTTTGACCACGAGGGGGCTGTGTGAACATAATTTTTTGGCAACTTCTTGGCCCTTCCCTGGTTCAAAAGGGCAAATGCGTTTTTATGTACGATAAAATGTGACTCTGAAATAATTAACAAGGTTTTTCTTATCTCTCCCCTTTGACAGAAAATGCATAAAATCATGGCTTAATTAGTCCTGTGATTTTTTTTTTTTCGTTTAGAATGACTGTAAATTACTCAAACTCTTCATTGGTCAGGGTGCTTGTATAAAAAAAAAAATCAAAATCCTGACAAATGCAAAATCCTCTTGAATCGTTGTCTAGAGCCTGAAACATGCTCTCAAGGATCAAAACTAATCCTGATGAAGTGTGGACACTGCAAATCCTGTCCATAAGCTCGTGCATATTATGTCTAATGAAGGTATCTGATGAATAACCAGAAAACAGAATGAATTTTCCACAGAAACACAGACATTAAGAAATATTAATTTTTATGAAAACCAGTTTTACATAGACAATGTATAAGTATAGATCATTTACCCTTCTCTCTTCTGACAGACATAAGAAACGCACAAGTAACAAAAATGGCAAATATGGTATCCTAAGGCATCATTAACAAGCTTGGGAAGTTGGTAATTCACAGGAACATGCCCTTCATTACCGGAAGAGTTTGCTGTGGGTTTTAGTCCATAGCAGATGCAGGAAAAATCGAGAGGGTAAATCGGCTACCTCCCATCTCCTCTCAATTTATCTAAGTGCTAGGTCATCAAAGTGTACAGCTACACCAAAAGGGAGCAAAATGTGCTGTCTCTGTTCCACAGTGCCTGGAAAGTTCCCCTCACGCTCACTTTTTAACGGTCCGGCCGCGTTCAAACCTCGCGTATAAACCTCGTGTTTATGCGGCGCCTGAGGAGGGGAGCCGGCTTTGACCGCACCGGTGACCCTCAGCGCCTTCTCGGGCAGGGCAGGAGCCGGACGGACCGGGCTGCCGGTGCCGCAGGTGAGGCCTGACAGTCAGTCCCCTGCCAGCCTCCCCCGGCCAGGCAGCCCGTGCGACGCAGGTAGGCTCTGCCACCCCCTCGGCGCCGCGAGCGGGGCACGCGTGGGAGAACCGCGCTTCGAATCGGTAAGGGAAGGTTTCGGAGGGGAAAGCGGGCACAGACGGCCGGCAGTGCGGACACACCGCGCCGCGCGGTTCCCCAGGCAGCGCTACGGCGGCCGGCCCGCCTACGGCCTCGGGAGGGCGCGGAGGGCCCGCCCCGCCCGTCCCCCCGCGGCAGCGGCAGCGGGCCGGGCGCTGTGTGCTTGCGCTGTGCCGAGCCAGGGCCGCCGCGGCGGCTGCGCTACCACGGCGCCGCCGGGGCAGGGTTTCGCTCGGTTTGGCTCCGTGTCACACACAGATGTGACTCTTGTCTGTTCCCTGCGAACGTACAACCGTGACGGCTCACCTCCTCCCGCCTCCCTTCCCCCCCCGCCCCAGGAAAAAAAAAAAAATCCCACCCTTTTACAAAAAATTTCCTCAGATCCCACACCGAGCAGCAGCCGCCGCCGCCGCAGCAGAGTCCCGAGAGCTGATGGAGCAATGGGTGGGAAGCGGGAAAGCGGCACCACGAGCGAAAACTTTTCCTCTGCCTAACTTTTCGCTTCCTTTCTAACGCTCTCACCGCTCCCCCTCCGGTTCCTTACCCCCTCGTTTGGGCTACGCTCTTTTCCGCCGTCTTTCTGCCCCCTCTCAGCCCTCCCTCCAGCTTGCTTTCGCCTTGCCGCCCTCTCTCTCGCTCGCTCCAGTGACGCCTGGAGCCGATAAAGAAGAGGAGAAGCAGCGGGAGGGACCGCAGCCGCTGCGAGGGGCAGGCGGGCGGAAGAGCGGGAAGGCGAAAGGGGGCAGAGGGGGCGGCAGCCCCCGCTGGCCGCCCTCGCCACGAAGTTGGCGGCGGCCGCTGGGTGTTTTTGACAGCTGGGCGCGGGCGGCCTCTGCCGCTGCCCCCGCCCGGCATAGAAAGTTTGCGGGGGAGGGAGGAGGCAGAGGGAGTTAGTTTTTCAACCCCCCGACTGCTCTTACCCCTTTCGTCTGACTCCCTGCCTGCCGCCCTTGCCCGAGAGCACAGACTTGGGAGGAAGCAGCACTACCCTCTCAGACCCGCTCGCAGCCTCCCCCCGCCGCCTCCCCTTCCCCAGCCAAAGATCCCAACAACAACAAACCAACCTGTGGAGGCTCTGACCCGAACCTGGGTCCCTCCTCCCATCACTTCCAGCTCTCCGCTGAAAGCTCTTTCTCTTTCTCCCTGCTGCTTGGGCTGAACTTTGAGGGCTGAAGTTTTGAAAGAGTCAGAGAGAGGGCGGGGGGGAAGAGAGAGACTCTCACTGCTGCTGCTGGGGGTTTCTTGTTTGTTTTGGTGGGTTTTGTTTGTTTGTTTTGAGGGAGGGAAAGTAATTTTTGTTTTTTTAAATCTCCGGTTTTAGTTCAAATCACCTGGGGGCGGAAGGGGAGACGGAAAGAGAGGGGGTAAAAGAGAGAGAGTGAGTGAGGCGCTGAAAACCCAGAGGCAAAAGGAAGGGTGCAGGCACTGCCGCTGAAAGGAGATCGAGAGACAGGGGGTGCACTTGACAACCAGCATGCAGAGATGGTAAGAAGTTTCCAGCAGCCTTTCGTTTTCATTCTAGCCTTTACTTTGGTTTGATTTGATTAATAAATTGTGCAGTAACACAAGCAGCCCTGCTCGCTATCGGTGTGTTTCAGTCTTCAAATAAACAAGCAGCCGGGCAAAGGAGGAGGATAATAAATCAGGTCTGTGCTGCGTGGATTGGGGGAAAAATGCCTAAGAGGCTGTGCTAAACTTTAAGTGAGTTTGGGGGGTTGAAATGGGATGACCACATGCTTTTTACCGCCTCCTTGCCTTCACTAAAGATGAGGGGCTAACGTAAAAAGAGTGAGTGTGAACGGAGGGAGAGTGAAGGTGAAGTGGTTGAATCGGACATACGGTGGTCTATCTGTTTTGGACACCACCTTCTGCTAGGAAATGAGTGAGTTTTGCAGCAATGTAAAGGTAACCTCTAAGAGCCTGGAAGGAGCTGTGTGTTTGCGTGTGAAACAACGCCTGCGGCAGGGAGACAGGAGTGTAAATCCACCTTCCCTCCGAAACTCTTTTCTTTTTGTTGTGCATGTGCTTGCAGTTTGCACCTCTCCAATCAGCGATTCCTAACAGAACAGAGTTGTGCCGATGCCCTGACTGTAAAAAGGGAGAAACCCTCCCCCAACCAACTTCGAACAAGTTTTTTCTTATTATTTCACGTGCTGTGGAAATGCTCGTCTCCTTTACAGCAGGGGGTTTTGCAATGCAGGGTTTTGGCTTTCACGACCTTTTAATTTAAAAATTAAAAAGCGAAATGACCGAGGACCTCATTTTACTGAAGTCTGTTTTTCTGGGTCGTGATGTGAGGATAGGTTTAAACAGCTGTGAAGGAAAACCTCGTTTAAGACATGACTATACGTAACGTGCAGAATGGTAACTGTTCGTATTAACACGTGGATCAACCTTAGTGATGGACAGTGATCAGCCCATATTCAGTGAAGTAGTATATTTCCATATTTCCCGTTTGACTACTGCTCTGCTTTCAGTCAGCTTTTGTCACCGCACTCCAGGGATGTTAGAGACTTGTCTTGTGTGCCTTGAATATACACATACATATGTACAAGCACACACACAAGTGTGTGTATATATATATTTTTATGTATATATTCTTATATACTTACATGTGTATATGTTTTGTGTATGCATACATGTATATATGTATACACAGCACTCAAACTATAGGTAGAGTGTACGTCTGTGTGAATGAAGGGAGTTTGCAATGGAGGGTTTGTGTTTTTCCCTTCTCTCCCTAACATGACATGTCTTGTTTCAGTGATCAAAGCCACAATTGGAGTGTAGGAGATGCAACTGTCAAATGTAGACAACAAGGAAAAAAAAAAAAAGGGAGGGGGAAAAAGCAGCATGTGCCCAGGACTGTGGTTGCAGTAATGCTGACAGAAATTAAAGTGGGTTTGAAAGCAGCATGCGATTTATGATGGTTCCCATTTACCCTAGAGTCAAGCTGTTGTAAAATTGATGCACAAAAGGCATCATGTAGTAATCTGGTGTACCCGGGATTAAAGTGGCAATGAGTGTCTTCTTGTGTGAGTGTCTGGCTGATGGTTAAAATGGTTTGAAGCTATTTTTAAGTATGAAATCAAAGCAGGATATTACAAATTTCTTTTCTTAATCTGTATGTTAGCTGTATATAGCAGTCATTGAAATATTTTTTACTGCAAGTGGGCTTTTATTTTTCAATCTCTTCCATTTCCCCCTCTGTATAATAACCCATCTCCTTAGATGAATTTTAAAATGGGGTAGCATTTTTGTCATAGTTTCAGAGTACAAATGTTCACAGTTTAATTACTGAGTTCATTTCAGACAGTAATAGTTAATAAGCCTGATCAGCAGATCTGCACAAGAATACCAAGTTCCTGTAAAAGTATGTGGAACTTTCCTTGCCCTTAAAAATTGCAGGATTTTTTAATCTGAAATTTAATGGGGCATTTGAGCTGTCTGATACACTGTAGTTTCATTTTAAGCTGCCAAGTATTAATGAACCATCTAGAACTCTATGTATGTTCTCCTTTAAATTCCTAAAGAACATGAATTTTAAGATTTACAATTTATTTCAAATGATTCACCTTTACCTGATCCAGATGCAGAAAATTTTAAGTGTAAATTATAAACTCATTTGTTATGAGCAAATTTTGAAACTCCTTTTAAGACTTGGGATTCTGAAAGTGTTCCTTAAGCACACATCTTGCACATGTGATTGAAAAACCCTGCTTTGGTACATTATTTTGTAAAAAATACAATAGTGTGACTTTTAGGGGGAAAAAAAGCAGAACTATGCTTTTAATCACATTACCTTTTTACTATCGAGGCATTTTGGAAAGATGGGTATGTGATTACAGTAAATAATGTAAAGAAACAGACAAAAGCAGAGATGACTGTTGCTATATTAAAATGTATTACATTTTGAATTTTCTGGTGAGTTTTTGAGTTCAGTGCTTTACATAACATTTTGTCCTAATCTTGCTTGCTGTCAGAGATGTTTCATGGTTGTGCAATTGCTGCAGTCAAGAATGCCAATTTGCATTCCAGGAGTGTCATTTGATTACTTTTATCTACAGAGCTCGAAGACCAGCCCAGACCTCTCATTTCATCTTGCCATGTCACGAGTCAGTGCTGTGTCCTCTTTTCAAAATCTGCCTGATTTAGACAAGAAAGAAAAGTACTTTCATGTTGCAGCCGCAGTCCCCTGCTAACTTGTCAGCAGCAGGATATGATTCACTTGGGCCCAGAAGAATGGTACAGAGATGAGGGTTAGGCAGTTCAATAAGCCTATGGACAGGTAGTGTGTGACATCCCAAGAGAGCTCAAGTTAATGAAGAACAGGTCTGCTTAGTTCTTCATACTCTGACCTGGTGCTGTCCCCACAGTTTTCTCATTTGATCTTTCCCAGCAAATTGATCTTTTCTAGTACTTTTTTGCCTTCCAAGTTAGTCCTTGTGGGACTGAAATTAGCAGAGCAACTTAAGTTGGATAATACAGCTGTTCAGAAAAGAAGAAATTGGACACTAGCTTATAAAGGGGGAGGGGAAAGTAAGCTATTCTTTCTGTTGTTACTCAGGATTCCTTTTATTTTTATGATTACAGTTTGATTTTAAAAAGCTTCACAATAACCATATTACTTTGGAACTTCTTTCTTATTTAAAGTTTGTATGGATGGTCCATTGCACACTGCATAAAATGTGTATCACTTAAATAAAACAAACATGCGTGCAGCATAGACTACAGTTTTGCTTTGGTGTTTGTCAGTTGAACTTGCTTGTTAGAAATGATTTGCTAGTCTGTAATGAGGCTTTTACAGTTGTTGTAAGACACTTTAAATATCAATTGCACATGCCAACTCCATTATTTACAGCCTGCTAAATAACTGTAATTCCATAGTATCCAATACTGAAATGCAGTGCAGATTAAACAATAAAAGCCATTACAAATGGTATGTGTAAATATTATGGTAGGTGAAAATACAGTCAGCAAATTACCACTGGCATTACTGGTTTTCTGGAAAACTAGCATATACAAACAAATTGGTTTTAACTAAGGCACTCTATACTTAAGATCTGGTCTCTAAATGGGGCTATGGTATTAGCCTGTTAGTCCTTTTTACATGATTTTGCACTTGATAATTGGAAAGTGGAATGGAGGTGTGTTTGTGTGTGTATGTATGTGTGTGTTTAAATACATACATGACTAGGTTGTCAAACAATGTAAGATTTCAAACCAGAATTTGGTAAATACAGTGTAAGTTGGAAATGATTAAGAGGGTCTTAAGTATGCTGAAGAATAATAAGCTGTATTTAACTTTCTGTATTTCATAGCAGATGTTCTCACATATTATCCACATCCTTTCAAGCTGTAGAATTGAAAACACTGCTGAATGGAAACATGAACACTTATTATGTAAGGGAAATACTGCTCTCACTCTCTCTCTCAGAATTGCTTTTGAAAGTGGAAAGGAACTGTACAGGATCATTGGTCAGTTAAGCTCTTCTGCAGAGCTAGAGGGAGCTTCATGATTTTATTAGATAAACGAGAGGCTAGAAGAAAGGGGAAAAATACTCTGAATAAAGGAGGGCTGATTTCTGACTTTGTTTCAGAGCCAAAGATCTAGAAATTAGACTTTGAGATGTCTTTATTCTGTTTTACATA